TTTGGATCCAATTTTGTTCTTTTTTTAGTGTTGTACACCACGTACACAAGACAGCCAAAGACACGTAAGGATGAATAATCAGTTGATTTACCTTTCCATAACTTCATTGGTGTGCTCAAACCAATGGCGGTTAACGGTGACCGATTTATAACATAACAGGTAGTTTTAACCGCTTTTGCCCAAAAAGACTTGGCTACTCCAATTGTTCGCAACATAGCTCTAGTTCTTTTCAGGAGAATTCTACTCATCCGCTCTGCTATATCATTTTGTTGAGGCGTATGTGGGACAGAAAATTGTCTGGTAATACCCTCTTGCTTGCAAAATACTAAAAATTCTTTGTCTACATATTCTCCTCTGTTATATGTCCTCAAACACTTAATTCTTTTCCCAGTTTCAAGTTCTACTTGTGCTTTGAATTCCTTGAACTGTGAAAACACATATGCCTTCTTCTTGATAGGGTACACCCATAATCTCTTGGAGTAATAATCGATGAACGATACAAAATATTTTGCTCCTCCGAGGGATAATACCGATGATTCCCATACATCAAATTGAATCAAGACCAATATGTGTTTACTTTTAGCAATCACTCTAGCAAACTTCAATCTATGTTGCTTACTTATCACACAGTGCTCACAGAAGGGTAAACTAACCTCTTTAAGCCCGGGTAAGAGATTACGTTCTGTAAGGATTTTTAGACCACTTTTTGACATATGACCAAGTCTATGATGTCACATGATCACTGCATCTTCCTAACTTGTTGCCGCAACTGATGCATCCGCTTCTTGCAACGTATCTCCAAGCAGCACATACAAATTTGTCATGATCTTCTTTGCCTTCATGACCACTAAACTCCCCTTCACCACCTTCAAGATTCCACCTTCAACATGAATCTTACACCCGAGGTCATCTAATTGCTCAATGAACAATAGATTCTTCTTCAAGTCCTTCACATGTCGTACCCCTTGAATTGTGCAAACAATACCATCATACATTTTAATTTTTATTGTACCAACTCTAGTAATCTCCAATGCATGGTTGTTTCCCATGAAGATGGATCCACCTGAGAATAGTTCATAAATGTGAAACCAATCTCGGTGCGGAGTCATGTACCATGTTGCACCTGAATCCATTATCCACTTGTCATGAAACTCCTTTTTACCATTAGAGATAATTACTGTTTTGCTCACTAGAATATCTCTATCTTCCGAGGTACTTACAACACAACCTTGTGAGGTTGATTCTTTAGAGTTGTTTCTTCCATTCTTCCTCTTCCAACACTCTTTTCTCGTACGCTCTTTCTTGCCACAAAAGTAGCATTTGATCTTAGAACTTTTCTTACTTTGAGATCTCAATCTATCATTACTCGAGTCACATTCTGTTGATCTTCCTCTCATCATTGTCAAAGTCTCTACTTGTTTGGAACTTTTCGCCCTTACTCATCTGCCTGAATTCTTTTTCAAGAATAGCTCCGACAACATCCTCAAAGTGCATATTCCCATCAATATTATTATTTGTAATATTGATGATGAGTTGATCATACGAATAATGTAAACTCTGAAATAAAAGCTCTGCACGCTCATTTTCAACTATGTTGAAATTTGTCGTTGATAGTTGGGCAAACAAGGTATTCAAATGGTTGATGTGGTCCGTCACTGATGTGGACTCACTCATTCGAAGAGTATAGAGTTTTCTCTTCAAGAATACTCTTGTGTGAAGTGACTTCACCTCATATAGTTTAATGAGGGTATCCCAAATCTCCTTCGCAGTAGTCTTCTCCGCAACAGTGGATAAAACTGAATCTGTCATTGATAAGTGCAAATTCGCAATAATATTGTCGTTCATCTGTGTGTTCCACGGTTCTTTCTGCAATTGTATCAATACAATTGTCCTTCCTCAAAATTACTTTTATCTTCAGTTTCCACAATAAGAAATTACTCTCATTGAACTTCTCTATCTCATATTTTGTTATCATGGTTCCAATTTGACTTATGCAATCCTCACTATGAATAGTATTGTCTACATGAACAACAATGGTAGACTGTGAACCAGTACACCAGGTAAGTTCCTAGGAAAGAGAGGTGAGTCACTAATGGACACGCTTAAATACTAAGTTTTTCCTTGCCAGAACTTTTCCTAGACATGCACTATCACCAAATAATATCCAGTAACAAGAATAACTCTTTTCTGATGTGGAAGATCATATTAATCGAAACCACAGAGCATACTAAGAATTTTCTTCAACATTATTCTAATGACTACGCAATAGAAGACCAATATCAAAACCTAGTGGCTCTGATACCACTGTTAGGTATCAAACAAAATTATAAGCACACACAACTAAAATAAAAAGATGAGAAAAATACCGACAATAGGAAAAAGAGTAATTTTACTAATGAAAGAAATTACAACCATTCTCTCTTTATCTCCAAGGAGGAAACAATAACACCCTCTCCTGAAAATAAAGGAAAAACAACTTTAAGAAAACCTAAAAGGAGAAACTATTTTTCTCTCTTAATTTATCTCTCAAGTACTAAAGTAGCAAAAGAAAGAAAATGAAGTGATTTTGGTGTGTTTTACAAGGTAAACATTGTGTTCCTTTATAGTAAGAAAAGTAAGCACCAAACTAAGATTTTCTTGATGTGAGACTTTTCTTCTCACATAAAATATACAAACTTTTTATACCACTAACTTGGAGTTTATTTTAAACCATATAAATTATTTCTTAACCTACACACAACCTGCCTTACCTTCAACAAGAAAATCATCGAGTTATTTTATGTAAATTTTTTCCTCTTAATTATATTGAAGGAAACTTGTCTTCACATCTATTAGATGAACCTCTAAATCAAGAGTAACAACTAAACTTAGCATAATTATGATGGATGATATATTCACCACAAGTGAAAAAATCTTATTAAAATAAACTCATTTTCTCTGTCTAAAATATTTCACCATTAATTTGATTTTGTACTTTGGAAATGTAGAATTACTCTACTTCACCCCAAATATCCACCTATTCTCTATGACCCTTTTGCCCTTAGACAATTTTACTACGTCAATAATATGATTATTGAGCAAAGATTTTGTCTAATCTCGCATTGCATCAAACCACTTAGATTTTTTGCACTTGCCAAAAAACCTCTTCAAAATACTTAGATTCTCCACCATCAGTCAATGTCACATATTCATCAAAAGAGTACCTAGAAGACATCCTATTGGATCTTCTATGAGGAACTTGTACTACAAGTGCATCATCATGTACCATATCATGTTTCTTTTGAACATCATTAATCAAAACTCCTAAGCCATCTAACTTATTGATCATTAACATCATCATGTTGCTCATCATTTTGATTATCTATTTTAACATTATCTAAATTTCAAAAAGATAACCACATTAGATTACCATCAGTCAAAAATTTATCTTTCTTATGATATTTTTTTTTAACATGTTCATACAACTTATACTTAAATTCATCTTAAGTGTAACTAATAAAGATACATTATTTTATCTTTGTATCTAATTTATATTTTTTATCCTTTCAAACATGAACAAATATCTTATAATGAAAGACAGACAAATACTTATAACTAAAAATAACCTAACCTATCTCAAATATATAATGAATTTAGTTGGTTTAGGAATTCAAATTCATATTAATACCCGTGTTTTCAATAAAAAAAAAACATTTTTTAGCTAATAAAAATATAATTCTATAACTTATAAAACTATTATAAAAAGTAAAGATTAAAATTACATGAATTTTCTAAAAAAAATTTAAATCTTCAAAATTCTTTTGACGCCTCGTTAAAGAAACACAATAGAAAGAAAGCTAGAGACATATAACGAAATGAGTTTTCTTAACAATTCACTATCTCACGAAAAAAATGCACTACAAGATAATTAGTGGAAGTCTGTGTCAAAACCTTTACGTCTTTGATCCATTTTTCAAGTGCCTTGTAATTCATGATTGTCTTTTCTTCAACCCACAAATACGTATTAAATCAGAAACCAAATAAAGAAAGCTTTACGACTAAAGATCTTCTATTTTACTTCATACATTTTACTTTGGGGTCCCTTGATTCACTTGCATAAAAGTTTTATCATGATCTATAAAGAATAGTAGAAATATATAATAGTTGTTTACATACACTTTGAATTATTATTAAAAAACTAAATTAATTTAATAAGGACCCAATTGGGCCGATATTGGCCTGCTGTTCAACTAGTCAACACATTTTTGTTGTTTTGTTACATCCAAATAATGGGACAATAAGCAGTGCTTATTTTTGCTTTGAATATGAAAAAAAGTTTATTTGACTTGACCTTAAATATGCACTAAAACTTGTATCTAAATACACTCTTTTTAGATTGATAAGATTACATTATCATATATTCAATAAAAAATTTCTGAAGCACAAGTTTCTAAGATTTCAATGAGTTGCATGCAATTTTGGGTTGATCAACAAGATAATTAGATAAAATAATTCTTTTATGCTTTCACATTAATCTTTAAAGCTAAGAAAATGTCAAATACAATTTTTAATTTATAAACAACAAATAAGTTATGAATTCTACGATCTACACTTTCTGAAAACTGATTAGGTATTTTTTACTTAAAAAAATTACTCGTGCAAACATTCCAATTTTAGACCGTTTGCTTTTCAAAAAATTTTGGACATTCATGTTTTTGAATTATCCAAACATAAGAAAGAAATATAAACAATTTTTGTAATTAACCATAATCGTATAACTATTCTCTTTACTTAAGATGAACAACAATTCAAAACAAGGAAATCACGTTAGTTTATATTCAGTTACATTATAAGAAGACTTACTAAGATTTAGAGGGTTTGATTCCGCGGTAGGTTACAAACGTTTAGAAAAGCCCGTTTACCATATAGGTGTAGAAAAAGTGCTTATAAGTTAGAATTGTTGCGTTTTGGTACATCTATAATCCTATAATTAGGAATTCTCGTTGTCCTTTGGGTTAAACCTTTATCCAATAAAAGACTTTATCGGTGAGGGCCCGCAACTTCTTTATTACCCCATGCGGAATAAGAGACAACATGTACCAAGGATCCCTCACCCTACCCCCTTTTCCTAAAATAGCCTCATAGGTAATGTTCCACTAATATATATCTATATAATAATCACTATTTTTCTTTTTAGCATTTTAATTTTTTATCTATTATTTTCATTTAAATGGAAGTATAATAAAGACTAAAAATGTAACTAAGAATGATAATCTTCTCCTAAATATTATTTATTTATTATCATAAATAAGATAAGAATATTTTGGAAAACAAATGATGATAGAAGCAAGCAAATCTCACTCGTACCACTTGTATGTATATAATGATTTAGAATCACATAATGTTATCATTTTATTTTATTCCATTTGGCACCAAATTTGGGAAGGGGGTTATAAAAAAAATCAAATAATAATAACAATTAATAGTTTAATTATTTTGTTAATCCGGTAATTGAATTAAATTTTTGAAAAACGGGTTTCCCACTTCGAGAGGCTAGAGCATTAAGCATCAAGCATTTAGCAAACGTTATATGTGTCGAAAGGAAGAGAAGAGAGTGTGGGAAAGAACCTCTTTTTCTCTCTCTCTTTGTTTTCGTACGGTTTGGTTGTGCCCACTGTCCTGTTTCGGTTTCTGTTCCCTTTGAGAGCAGAAGAATCAAATCAATCCTTTACCGTTCGTTCATTCAATTCCTTTTCTTCCGTTTTTCCTATTTTTTTCTTCGGAAAATAAAATTTGAAACTTTGCTTTTAAACGGGAACCCCAACCTCAGATTTCACACCTAGAATCTTGATCCCTTTATCCAGAAGCCTCATTGTTGGTTTTTTGGCCATTGGGGTTGTTGCTCTTGTTGGTGTTCATCCTTTGTGGGAAAGAAATGGCGTCGAGTATAGGTATGATGGATAGCGCATATTTTGTCGGCAGAAACGAGCTTCTCACTTGGATCAACAATCGCCTTCAACTTAACCTCTCTCGCATTGAGGAGGTAATCCTCTTGGTTCTTGTTCTTGCCAACATTTTAAAAAAATAAAAGAAGAATTTTTATTTGGTCTTTATGGAAATGGGGTATCTTTATTTCTTTTGTTGTTATTGGGATGAGTATGATGTCATTATCTGAATACTGGTTGTTTATTATTATTCTTTTTGTAAAAATCTTGTGGGGTTGTTAACACTTGCTATGCATTTTCTTTTTCTCTTCCAAAGAAATATTTGTAATACATTTTAGTTTATTCCTCTATATTTTTTTTTTTGGTCTTGTTCATACTGTTCATACATATTGGCATGTTCGATTTCTCGTCTTATTTAGGGTGAATGTTATCTCTATGTGCGGTTTTGTTGATGGTAGGGCGTTAGAGTTCTTGAAAGAATTAGAATCTGGTTTTGCTGTGGATTTTCTTTTGAATAATCAGCTAGGAGGGAGGCTCCTTGCGAAGTTTCTTTTGCTGAATGTGGTGAATAAAAAACTTCTGAGGATTATGCTGGAATCTGGGAATGTTGTTTTGATTGTGAAGCAGTTGATTTGTGCACAGCTAACTATTGTTTGATCTGTTTGTTTGATTTTCGTCTTTGCATTGTGGATTTTGAAGGAAAATTTTCCAAGTTATTGGTCTAGTGTTTCTGTAGTTTTGATGATTATTGCTTGATATATTGATCCTTTATTATTATTATTATTTTAATTTAGTCCATTTTTTTCTTATGTTACAAAAAACTTGTTTAATGATATGCTTGTATGCAGAATGCTCACTCGGTATGAGTGTCACAAGAATTTGGACTGTTAAATATGTTGATAATTAAATTTGCTGATTGTTATCGTTAATGTTGTGTTAAAGTGTGAACGGCCCGTGGAATGGAACTAACATTGTTTTTGCACCAAGCTTGTCTGATTTATTCTCACTCTCCTCTCTTTTACTCCTAAAGTACAATTTTGGGCAAAGAATTCTATTTCATTACTCGATGAATCTCACAATGACATAAAAGATTATTAGCTAATGCTAAAGTTAATTAAGCTTATTATCTATGATGAACGTCTATTATTTTTTTATGTTTTGTTCATTCCTGCTTATTCCTTATGCTTATTGCCAGGCTGCATCTGGTGCTGTACAATGCCAGATGATGGACATGACATATCCAGGGGTTGTTCCAATGCACAAGGTGGCAATATGACTTTGTTTTAACTTCTTTCATACTCTTCTGATATTTTGTTTCTATGATAATTAATTTTTAAACTTGAGAGTTTGTTATTTTAGGTGAATTTTGATGCAAAGACAGAGTATGATATGATCCAGAATTACAAAGTTCTACAGGATGTGTTCAACAAGCTGAAAATTGAGAAGGTATATGCTCTTCTCATCACAATGCTTAGCAGAACAATTGTAAAGCAGTGGGATAACTTCTTATAAACTTCTGCTGTACTATCAAACCAACCTAGCTTCTTTATGATGTTGAACATCAATGGAATGATTTACCTCTGGTAAAAATTTTAATATGTGGGTTCATAGTGTGTTTATCAAGACCTACAAGTTCTAATGAAGAGTAATATTCTGGTTTGATTAAGTTTGATTCCATATTTGTGAGATTACTTTTTAATTGGGCTAACTTAGCTACCCTGTGGCAGCATATTGAAGTTGGAAGGCTTGTTAAAGGCCGACCTTTGGACAACTTGGAGTTCCTTCAATGGCTAAAACGTTACTGTGATTCTGTAAATGGAGGCATTATGAATGAGTATGCTTTCTGAGTTCTTTTCCAAACTTTTCATAGTTTTCATTACCTCTATTTCTATTTTTCTTTGTAGAAATACATAATTCTATCATTCTTGTGATAATACGCATATGGAGTTTAAATGCAATAGTGTTGACATATTCTAAGATATAATAAAGTGTCATGTACGTTAATTTAAAAAATATTAAATTAATGAAATTAAAAACCTGATTTTTTTTTAGTTTCTAAAAAGAATGCTGTTCCAGTTGCCGTGACAGTGAATACTCTAGAAGGCTTATACACTCATTGAGTTCATTTATGCAACCGAAATAGAATAAAAACGAATGTTGTTCCAGTTGCCATGCTGGCCATATGTTCTTGGCAGTATAATTTATCAAATCCTTTTCACTTTCATTGTAGGAACTATAATCCTGTTGAGCGTAGGAGTAGTAAGGGTGGAAAGGACCGGACTGTGAAGGGTCTAAAGAACTCAAAATCACTGCAAACGAATACTATGAATCAATCTGGTTCAGGCGATTCACTCAGTATGAACAGAACATTTGGTTTGCTTATTGGTGTCTTTGAGTTTGTATTTAAATTGTTTATAGTGGTTTTTCTGTATTGCGATCCTAACTCTCATCCTTTTCTGTTACTCATGTTGGGTTTATGAAATTTTGAGTGTAGGGTCCAAGCAATTGAGGTCAAGTGGAGGAGCAGAAGGGGCTAATGCTTCAGCAGAGATTCAAGCTTTGTCCAAGCAGGTACGTATGACTATGAGAATTAGGTTCACACTTCTATTCCTGCAATCTGCAATGGTTATAGAAATGGCATGCAAGATAAAACTACTAAGCATTAAGGCATAATTGGATACATGTTAAATAGCCAAAGAAGGCTTTAAAGTTTGAACTTATAAATGCTACGTGTACATAGCATGTAGACATTGTTGATTTTCCTGATGCTTGCATGCTGAGATCTCACCTGACAATCTATTAGGTCTTGTGTTGGTATTGCTGTTGAGAGTTTGTTCCATAAGAATTTAATGAAATATTATTTACCTTTATAGTATCTCATTGTTGTTCACATATGTTTTCTGTTTCTCAGGTTTCTGATCTCAAACTCTCAATGGATCACTTGGAAAAAGAAAGAGACTTTTACTTTGCAAAGCTAAGGGATATAGAAATTCTTTGTCAGGCTTCAGAACTGGAAGACGATCCTGTAAGACTTCTAATGAAGACTTGCACTGTAGTTTTTTTTTTATTTTTTTTATTCACAATGATTTGAGAGGTCTATTACTTTCCAGTGTGCTCTTGCTCATCTCTAACTCCCTAACTATGTTGAGCCTAAGCATAAAACATCATATTCTATTCTCATGATCTATCAAGGATTTTCTTAGATCTAAATTTCTTAATATCTTTGTTGCTGGAAATGGGGGAAAGAAGCATGCGTAAAAAAATATGGCTTGGGCATTGAAAGTATTTGTTTCTAATAGCAGAAGATTCTGGATTCTCAGACCTACAAGAGGTTAGCCTTTGTCTTTTTGGAGGGTATAAGGAAGGATATCCAGTTCGTTACTGAGCAGTGTGATATTTGCCTATACATCGAGTATCAAATCAAACTTGAGCACCTGCTATAGTGTATTATTGGATCTGATATTATTGAAAGGGAAAGGGAAGGATACGGTTTTGATTGTTGTATGTCTCACTATATATGCTAATTCTATTCTGCTAAGTCACTTTTGAATGTGGCTCTGGTTTTCATTCATCTCTGGAACGTGAGATTCCCTTCTTTATCATGCACTGAAGCAGACTTCAGTCGTTTCTGAGCCAATTTTGAGCTGAATTTTTCAATCAATCTGGCAAAAGGCTGAAGCATAGTACAATATACAATCCATAGATGGATGGTCAAACTTAGATCATAACAGATATTTGGAAACTTACCTATGACGTGTTTTAGGTTCCAATTCAAAGTAGGGGTCCCTTTTGGTTTTGATTGTTGAAATTATTCAGTAAAGATTATATGGTTGTGGTTCTCCTCTTCTTTTAAGAGATACCTTCCCTTCCAAAGTGGAAGAGGGCGTCAACAAGGGACAGAGATGACATATTGCAGCAGTTCAAGCTGAACTTGAAAAAAAGGCCAGCAGCATATAAAATCCCAAGCTGACAAGAGGAGAAGACAAAGGTGGAATCTCTAGTATGCGATTGAGTGTAGTTGGAGATTCAGCCTTTTAGTCAGTAGTTAGAAAAAGGAAATTCAATTTGGCTCCATAATTTTATCACCATTGTCTACTTTTGGAGATGGTGAGGGCATTTGCTTACCATTTGCAGTCTTACAGCTACCTGTCCCTAGCGGAGTCCATCCTGTGTTCCATCTGTCCCTAGTCAGTCTGGATTGTTAGATGGACCGGAACATCTCAAAATGTTCTGGAGAATTGTGCTACATCTTAATGCTATTCTAAAGAAAAAAATTTCTTCTCTAAAATAAACCCAAATCCTTTTGAACTGAAGTAGTTTTGTTTTATTCATTCTTTTGGTAAGTGGATTGATCAGGATTTGAGTACTCAATTTCTGTATATCTATAGTAAAATAAATGATTCTTTGCGGGGTTTGGAGCTTGTAATAGATTTTACTTTCTATTTCTAAACATGACATGCGTTGTAATCCTCTAATCTACCTTAAGATTGGGGGATTTATGTTCAATGGGGCATATATGTTCAATAGAGTTACAAAAGTCAATTCTTTTATTACGTTTTTTTTAACGCAGATGTCTCTAGCAATTAAGAAGATTTTGTATGCTGCTGATGCAAAAGGATCAGCATTAGATGAAGCTCAGGACTTTCTTAATGAAGTCATGCATGGTGGTGAAGGTGAAGGTGAAGGTGAAAATGAAGGTGAAGCAGAAGCAGAAGCTGAAGCCTGATTACGCTTACAAAATGATCCTGGCTGGTATGCACATGATATTCCCCAGCTCCCGTAGTAAACAAGCATTAGTGCCATCTGTGATGACTAAGACTGGTAAGCCTTCCCCATGCCCCATGGCCATAGTGCCATAATGACATAGCTGTAGTTTTATGGATCTTTTGTTTTCTTATTGTAAGCCTGGATAATCAGATATTCTGGTTGATGTTTCCAATCAATAAAGTTGATCTCATTGTCCTTTGTATCAGTTATAAAGAACTTCTCCAATGAACTTTGTTTTGAAATGGATGTGTTTCAACCCTTGTATTTTGTATTTGGTGCAAGAACCTCTCTTATAAATTGAAAGATTGTTACTTTTACATGTAAATTTATTGGCAAGTGATTGTAGTTCAAATTATAATGTTAATTGTATTTTTAGATGTTTTTCAAAAACATTATAAATAGTTTCATTTTATTATAATTTTAACATAAAAGAAGATGGTGGGGCAGATTGTCTTGTTCCATTTGCTTTGGGTCTGGTGAGTTGGTGGGGTAGGTTAGAGTGGGCTAGTGAATTAAAATTGTTACTTGTCAATATTTGAACAAAATATTTAATGCTTACTAAAATTTTGATGCAAATATGAATTGGTGGTTAAAGCTATTGAAGATTGATTTAATATTAATGTAAAAGAATATAATAGCGCCAAGCACTCCTATGCAAAACCCGATCGAACAACCAATGTATGTTTGAAAGTTGGAAGAAAAGAAATAAAAAATGGAAGTTGAAATATTGTAAGGACTACCTGCATAACCTAAAATCATCTTAAGTATCTCAGAATGATTGAAAGAAACCTTTTACAATGATACTACACTCTATTTTTCAAATAGACAATCATTATGTTGTCGTGAAGTAACATTCATGTTATCTTATTTATGTTCATATTAAAATCATAAGTAAAGATAATAGTAAATTATTATTATATTTTATAACTATGTATTTGTTTTTATATTAAAATAGTGTTTTCTAAATAAAACTTTTTTATATTTTTATAAGACAATTTATGATGTAGCCATAATTTTTTATGATATTGTAATTAAATCATTCAAATTTTTATATTTAAAAATAATTCTTTTTAATTTCTATATCTTTTTTATTAAATTTTTAGTCTATATTTTTAAATAAAGCTAAAAAGTTATCACTTTGTTAAAATATGAAAGAATTGTCATTTATTCAAATTATGAGAATTTTTTTATTAAAAATTAGAAAGAACGTGTATTATTTTGTTAAAATCATAAAGAATATGAATATCTATTTTAAATTAAAAGGAATGTGAGTGCTTAACATGATTGATAAGTATAAACTTCTTTCTCATTAAAACAACCAAATTTTATAAAAACAATCAACTTTTATAAAAATATAATTTAAAAGTTTTTTTAATACATTCTTTACCTAGAAGAACTACGTTATTGTGTACTTTACAATGGTAGTTCACTTCCTCTTGTTGAACCTGTTTTTGTATCTGTTCAAATACAATGATTTGCATGAACAAAAAGTGATATTTTTTTTCAATTTTTTTTTTCATAGATAATAAAATAAGAAAAGAAAGACAAGCTCACTTCATATTTGTCAATATATATGGAACAAGAGTAAGAAATTATATATGTGTGCTTTTTTCTTTTCATTTTTTGGTTTTTCTATTATAATAATATTAAAAATAATAAATAAATTTACTTTTCATTAATTTTCTCTCTTTCCGTAAATCCAACCAAGTCCCTTACCACTTTAATTCTATCTTCTTCTTTTTTTCTCTACCTCATTTTCCATCAGTGTTTGTAATATTTTTGTAGTACACATTCTTTTCCATAAACAACAAACTATTCATTGAGTTACATAGTATGGACCAAAACCTATTTGACTATTTTCTTGTTGAAGGGGTTAGGCTAGGGAGGAGTAGTGTGACAAAAGACAAAAAGGTCAACAAACTGATTTGTATTGTACATCATTGATCTATATTCTATTACTCTATATACCACAGGTTCACACATAGCATGGTTGCATAGTCATGATATAAAACATAGAGGACTAAGCCTGAAATATGTAGTTACACACTAAACAAAAGTTCAGCCAACAATGTACATGCACCCTCTCCCTCATCATTCAATGGCTTCCATTTGCATGCTTGCTACTTTTCCTAGATTTACCAGCCTGCAGAGTGATGATGGCACCATTAGTCAGATAAAAAGGATAGCATAAACATGTGGTATTAACCATTGACCATGTATTACACACGAAAATACCTTGCTAAGCAGATTCTCAAATGCTTCAGTTCCATGCTCTTCAATGTACTTCTCAGCTGCAGTTAGCATGTCCTCTGGCTTCCCCAAAGAATCCTTTTTGCTTGGAACATACCAGATGTTAACGTTTTGAGAATTGACAAAGAAAGGTCTAACATAGTGCTCATAAACATAGGCTGCACCACTGAAGTAGGGAATAACCAACCAGCTGGTAAGGATTAGCTTTGCATATGGCCAAATGGGAATCCTGTAGTAGATTGACACAATTAAACCATAGGTAATTAGTATTTTCTCTAGCCTAATTCTTTCTCTAAGTATAACCATGACATTGTAAAAACATCAGAAATGCAGATATCACTAAATAGAGTAGACTACACTAGGTGGTATTCCTGAGGTTTTTCCTGCTTTTTCTATTCTTACACTTACCTCCTTAATTGTTGAAAAACATCACACCAACACTCTTTATACATTACACTAACCTCCTAATAGTTTGACAAATATTATCTCAATAAATATGAGTTTCATTCCCCATTTGATGGGTTTCTTTCCCAAATTAATTAGTTAGATCCACACAATTTTTTCAACCAATTGGAGAGTGTGTTGAGAAAAAATATTAAGAGAATGTGCTGCTACTCTTCTACAGTAAAAGGTTTACATAATGCAGCTAATGCACAGTTCTCAGGAATTTAACATCAGCCTATTATTATAAAGTATATTCTCACTGTTCTTGTATTGTCTCTCAGTATACCAGTAATCCCTTTTCTTAAATGTTTATTATTGTACATGATTGCATTTTTTTCTAAGACTATTGCAATGGACAAGATGAGACATAGATTATTGCAGCAAAAATAATCCGAATGTTCAAAGCAAATTCAAACTCAACGTGACATTTCACTTGTATATTGATCTCCATATTCCATGCCAAACAGAACACAATTTGTAGATCTTTAGATATGATTGGAGACTACAATTAACATTTTTACTTTCACCAGAGAAGGTCAATCTAGTATGAATTGCATTGCTGGTAAACTTAGCTGCAATGACAAGTAGTAAGTACTAACAAACACATCTCTTTCTTAAATAGTTATTGCCATAACTTAGCTTCAAATAAAAAACATTCAAAAGAAGTTACAACCCTTGTAATAATAACCACTCCGAGTCAAAATATCAGATTTCACATAAAAAACGATGTAAACAAGAAAAACCCCAAAAACGATTCAAAGGTAAAGGCAAAATTACCATTCAAGAGCTTTGGCAAAAGTAAGTTCAAAGAGGGTGATCAAGGAATATAGAACCCAATAAGTTAGCCATTGCTGGTCATCAACAGGAGACTTGCTCTCAATTGCCCTAACCGAGGCATATCTGAGGCATTATTCAAAGAAATCACAGACCATGAATCAATCACAAAAGCAAGTAAAATATAATCAAACAGAGTATCAGAAAAAGGGTTGTGGGTGTTTTCAGTTCCTAAAATATTAGAATATTCAAAGAAATCACGGACCATGGATCAATCATTCATTTTAGCCCCTATATATATATATATACAAGGATGAAAAGAAAACCACTGGTTCTAAAAAAAAAGAAACTTTAGAAAATTTCCAGAACTTTAGCATGTCTTGTGTGTACTTACAGAGGATACGCCAGACTAAGCACAGGCCTGCAAAAGAAACCCAATAGCCAAAGGTATCATTAGCATCAATTAAGAGAAGAAAAAAAAACTGAACATTTACAGAGGGTAGGTAAGAGCAAGAAAAGTAAGGAAAAGAAAACCATACCCAGCAAGAACATCAAAATTTTTCAGAACCACCTTCAGGAAACTTCCAGCTCCCATGTTTGAAACTAAACTAGTCTGTCAGTGTATGAAACTAAACTAGTTTGATGATTGGGGAGAATACTTAGGATTCTATACGATGCGAGAGGACAAAGCAGCCAAGTGAACGAGAGAGAATCTTATGTGTTTCAGGTGAATTCAATCTCACCGTTGGATTAGAAATCACTGCTTTTCAATTTTTGTTAGAGAAAAAAAGGTCAGAAAAAGTATGTTTTTAATGTGTTTTTTTTTTAATTGGTAAATTATTTTTAAATTTTAAAAATATATTTTTTATGCTTAAATTAAATTAATGATAATATTTAAGTCACAAAATTAACAGTAATTATCTTTTATACATAAGTATAATATTAAATTTATATATTTTAAAGTTATAAAAATGAATTAATCAAATCTTAAAATATATAGAGAAGAACAAAAGTTGACAAAATGTATTAAAAAGGAGTTTACATAACTTAAATATTTATGGAAAAATATTTATATAAATTAAATGTATTTTATATCTTAAAAATAGGTACCTTTAAATAAGGAAATTAATAAAATCTTCTTTTAAGAATATTAAATTTTCTTTTTCATAGATAGAAGTCGGTACGCAATGGTCGTCATGTCCTAAATCTTAGGGGGTTGGTATCTAGTTGGTAGGGCCGGTTTCAAAAGCAGACATCATATATTTAAAGAGGAAACTACTGTGAAACTTCTAGAGACTTTTTGATATTGCTTTCAATCCTATGTTTTTGTTAACATTTATAGAATACTTTTCATAGGAACATGTCATGTAATATTTTTTAAATAAATAAAACAGTTAGTGTTGAAATAAAAATATTAAAATAAACTTAATGAAAATTCAATTGCAAGTTAATTTATTTTATTTGATTAATATAAGAAACGAAAGATTGAGAGAAAATAAAGAATGTTAATAGAGTGTTTGAAATAGTGAAATATCTATCACTATTTCAAATAATTATTTAAAAAAAACAATAGTTTAAATATAGAGTAATTATCTTTTTATGTCGTATCTTTTTATAAAGCCACAACTTTAAGCACATCCTTTTTTATTATGAAAAATAAATAATGTATTAATACTATATACTATACTAATAAAATTTGAATTTGTACATTTTAAAAGATGTTTCATCATTTAAAGATTAACAAGGTTTTTAGAGAAAGACAGCTTTCAAACAATATAAGATTTATTTATTCATCCTTAAGTCTGTCACCTCGTTTATCTTAATTTATTTGGTGGCTAAATTAAAAAAAAAAAACGTTAAAGTTTTGTTCTTAATAGCCGTAATTATTTTTAATTTTTAAAATTTTCTTTTTCTAAACTGAAATTTTAATCTTTCAAATTTCAAAAAATACGTTTCTAGTCCCTATAACCTTTCTAATATATTAACAACTAACATAAGATTAATAGAAAAGAAAGTCAAAGTACACTTGTAATTGTGCAAAAGTTACCATGTGGCTCTCTGAGTGTTCTATTTCCTTTTGGATTTCTTGTCTTTTTACTGTTTCTCTTATCCAATTACACATTCACACACATTTTCAGGCAATATGCATCCTATGGTTACCCCTAAGAAATTCCAGATGAAAAAAAAAGATAATTAAAATTAACTTAGTACAAAATAAAAATTTTAAAAATAAAATAATAGAAATTTTACAAATTAATTTATTATATATAACATAAACTGTTTTATCCATATAAACAAGTTAATTTTGTTTTATTTTTAAATTTTGTTTTGTTTGAATTATACGAAATAAATGAGAGAGTGAAAAAAAATTAGACAGTTGAATTGAATGAAAAAAAGGTTTGTTTGATTTTATTTTTATTTTTATTTTTATTTTCTAATAAAAGTTGTAGAGATAATTTTGGAAATTTATTATGAAAATTATTTAAGAAAAGCTATTTGATAATTCTATTATTACAAAACATGAAAAAGAATAATATAAATGACATGAATGAAAGTTTCAAAATGATTTAATATAATTATAAGTGAAAAAATTATATTTATTAATGAAAAAAATATCTTTTATTAATTTTAATTTTTTTAATTTTTGAAAATTAAAATCGAAAAAAATTTTAAAATCGGTCTTGTCAACAAAGTTATTAAATACATTTTTTAATTTTAAAAATTAAAAAATTGAAAACTACAAATAGACAAACGAGTCCTTAACATTATCTTTAATCGATTTTGTAAATGATTTTGACTATATATTCACGTCAAATGTTGGAGGGTCAATTGATTATGTTATGACTAAGCATACTAGATTATGAACGCATTCAGAATACATTGATTATGGTTTGCAAGGTAAAATAACCTACATATCATCATGAACATTATGATGATTGGATGAAAAAAATTATTGTCCTCTTTATTATATTATTTCAAATCAATCATATACATTTATAGATATTTACCTTATTTATCTTCTTTTTATTTTCCACCTTCTTTTACATTATCCAAATAATTTCAAATTTTATCCTCTTTCAATATATATTTTTTTAACTTTTTTTTCAGTCTTTCACTTCTCACGACTCTATCCAAACATAATATAAAATAAATCAAAAATTTAATAATTAGTAAAGTAGAACTATCAAAACTACATTTATATAAAAAATAATTAAATTTATTCATTAATTTAATATTTAATCTTCTAAAAAAATAAATAAGAAATGTTTTTATAAAAAGTTCAACACATTTGTTAAATTTTAATTTAAAAAAATCCAATTTACTTTTTATTTTTATTTTCTTTTATATTTATTTGATGTTTATAAATATAATCATATAAGTAAACTTAGTCCTTATCAAATATAATATTATATGGAACTCCGTGTAATTTTATAATTTTTCTTATTTAATATTGAGTTAGTTTTGATTATCTAATATTAATAGGTAAAAATTAAACATAATAATTAAATTTTTAAATTGTATGTGGTAAACCAACTACAAAATCTATCATTAGATATATTATTTTCATTCAAGTATAATATTGCATTTCTATTAACTTTTGGTGTTTTATCTTAATTTTTTGACAAACTAAGTATGTTGTTACGTGTTGTACTACTTTGTTCTTCATTTCGAGCTAATAATTATTTTTTAAGATCTTAGATACATTTTTGTTGTGTCTCGGATATATACTTAATTTGCTCTTATGTATTTTTTCTAAAATCATATTTTTAATTTCTATATCATTAGGTACAAATATCCTACCATTAAATATTAAAATCCTTACCTTATTTATGCCAAAATTTTCTTATTCTTTTGTCATATCAATTTCTTTTTCTTTTGAATGAATTCATCACTTACCTGAACATTGTGGATTTTCCTTTACAAGTCATTGGTAATCTAAATTAAGTTTAACTCTGTTCTATCATGACTTATTATAATTGACAAATTCATGTCTTTGAATTTTTCTAGCAACCTCATATCCTAAATTATCAATGAGGAGACATGTAAGGATTTTTTTCTTAAAGCGTTTGTAATTACATCTACCTTTCTTGGGTGATAATGTAATTTAAAATCATAATATTTCAAAAATTCCACCCATCATCTCTTCCTCATATTTAACTCTTTTTGAACAAACAAATATTAATTTTTTTTTTATGATCACCAAAAATCTTGAACTTATCATCATAAACATAATGTTTCCATATTTTAAGTGCCAAAATAATGGTAGCTAGTTCTAAATCGTGGATTGGTTAATTTTTCTCTTAATTGTCTAGAAGCATATGTTACTACCTTTTTCTTGAGCTCTTAAAAATTATTCTCACATTTTTTTGTCCATTCAAAAGCTTGAATTTTCTTGGTGAGTTGAGTTAAAGACATATTTATTATAGAAAATCGTTTTGTGCACTACCCTATCAAACCAAAAAAACTACGAATAACAGTCACTATTTTTGATGAATTCTATTATAGAATTGTTTCTACTTTAGTTAGGTTTATTGATACTCATTCTTTGGAAATTAAATGTCATAAGAATTTTACTTCCTCTAACCAAAATTCACACTTATACAGTTTAACATACAATTGTTTGTCTTTCAAAATTTGAAGAACTGTTCGAAAGTATTATTCATGATCCTTAAAAGTCTTAGAATAAATAAGAATGTCATCTATAAAAACAACTACAAATGACCTAAAAATGGTCGAAAATTCTATTCATATGGTCCATGAATATTGTAAGAATATTGGTCACACCAAAATGCATCACTTGATATTCATAATGATCATACCTAGTTTTGAATGTAATTTTCTGTATGTCTTATGGTTTTACTCTAATTTGATGATATCTTAACCTTAAATCTATTTTAGAAAACACAAAGACTCATTTTAATTGGCCTATCAAGTCATTTATTTTAGAAAAATGATATTTATTCTTTATAGTTAATTTATTGAAGTGACATAATTTACACACAACTTAAAAAACTTTCATCTTTCTTCTTAATTAACAAAACAAGAGCTCCCCAAGATACACTAGGACGAATGGACTATTTTTCAAATAACTCTTCCATCTGTTTCTTCAATTATACTAGTTCAGATGGGGACATCTTATATGGTGCTATAGAAATGGATTTAGTTCTAGGCACCAAGTCTATTGGAAATTCAATATCTTAGTTTGATGACAAACCAAGAATACCATTAAGAGAAATTCTAGAAAATTTTTGAACAATTATTATATTTTGTAAATTGATATCTTCTTTTATTTTCATAGAAGATAATAATAAGTATTATTGAATTTCATTATTTAAAAACTCACTTACTAAATTAGTAGATGAATTCAAAATATCCTTAAAATTATAAAATATTACAAACTTCTTTATGCAATTCATAAAAGACTTGATTGTAAAATAACCATTTCATACCTAAGATCACATCTAATTGTAGCAAAGGTAGACAAACTTTATTAGTAGTTACGAATTTACTCGAGCGTTTTGAAACAATCAAACTAGTGTTTAGAAATGAGATGAAAAATTCAAGATTTTGAACACAATTATTAGAAATAAATAA